GAAAAACAACATCCAAGACTTTTTAAGTTCCAAAAGATGTAGTCTAATCGTGAATCAAGGGCTTGCCCTATGATACAGTCTGACCACCTACGCTCAAGGCTTCATGCTTCCAAGCAGCGTAGTCTAAGTCATGAGCACGTTGTACCGTGGGAGGTCTTAGGAGTTTTTGATTTTTGGCTAGGGTAACTTACTATCTTCTTGTTCCATCATGGCCTAGACTAATCCCCATGATAAACCATAAAGGTCATGTGGTCGGTGCATACATGAACATGGAATCCTGCAAAGCTTTTGGGCCAATCATGAACATGGCATATTAGGAGGTCATTGGTCATTTTGGACATGATTAGAGTTTTTGTGTCTGAGGACCTTGGTCCTTATCCTTGAGTAGTACCATGCATTCTTCTTACTTAGGTAGTTGTAAAGCTTGTGTGGTATTGTTCTTGTTTCTCAATCTTGTAAGTTTCTAAGGTTCGTAATTTCTCGAGGCATAAGTTGAAACTTGCATTTGTAACCATATGAACCCATCTTAGCATGAGTTGTTCTAGAAGATCATAGATTCTTAGGGAGTTCTTTAGAGGGTTCTATAAGAGTCTTGATTCTTGTGGTGTTTCCTTGTAGGCGATTCTTGGGTCCTAACTTGGTTTAGGTTCCAAACTTGCTCCAATCAACTTGAAACCTCAAACATATCTTCATGTCCTTCATAATAGACCTTATAAGAAGTACGAAACAATTTGGAGCACGTATAGACCTTGGATTTTCATAAGACTTCCTAGGGCCATTTTGGTCATTTTATCCATCATTCATGGTTTTTTTACTTAACGTGTTCCAATGGCTTTCAAATTTTCATAAGTCATCCTAAGAGTTCATTTAGTGAGTTATTTTAACGTTACTTAAATCCTGAGCATTTTGATCAATTTAGGACCTTAACTCACCGTTCTTTTTATTTTTCTTTCATATATCCTAAATTTATACTTATGTTAGGGTTCATATGGAAAATCCAATGGATTCCTACAAGTATTTTTTAACAAAACGTTCGAGGTCACTACTTACCTCGTCGTGGACATTTGGGATTTTCGTTCTTGAGCATCCAGTATCTGAATTATCTCAAATTTCCTTCCACGAACTCCTTATTTTGTCTAGTTTCTAGAACCATAAAGATTTTCTTGAGAATGATCAGGAAGGAGGTTAAAATTAAGAAAACCGAGGGAAGGTCAACATATACCTATCTTTGACTTTTATTGGCCAAAGTTTGACCTTTGACTTTGGACTTCATCTTCTTCCTTGGTAGCTAGAAAAATTTGGATTTTTTCCTATAAGACCCCTTTACTTTTACCTTTTTACAGCTATATATAGACATCTAGTGGATTCGATTGTTCCACGAAACCTTTAGATGAAGTTTCAAGCAAGAAGTAGAAAACAAGTTCATACCTTTTCGTGGTCTGTAGCACAGGTTATAACCTTCCAAAGTTCGTCGGAAAACATTTTTCTCGCCTGAGTATATCTAGAAACCTTTTGTTGGGTACCTAATTATAAAATGTTTCAGTGCCTGATTCCTTCACGAAACTTGTTGTAAATCCTATATGAAATATGTAGGTGTTGGTAGGAAGGAAAATGATTAACCATAACACTCGAATTTTGAAGAAATCAGTGAAAGAAAAACTTATAATCTAAGAGCTTCAAACTCGATTCTTGTCTTAAAACTTTGTCCCAACTTCAGACTTTATTGGGGAAGATTCCACCTGTTGGGTTTTATGTCCTAAAACTCATAGTTTGTAAACAAAAACATATTCTATTTTCAATAAAGTTATTATTGTTGTTTATCCAGTAAAGATTGTTAATGAATAAAGTGAACTTTACGATTATTAATCTTAAATCCAATAAACTAAGAACACTCTGACTATAGTATGATTACCTGAACTATATGTATTGACATAAGTGTGGATCAAGTTCAAGTATATAGTCAAAATGATCTATAGTGCAGGGATAAGGCCGAGTACCTTATCCAGGGGACACTATGGATGCGGCCCACTTTTGTATATGACATAAACAATATGATCACTAAATTGTACATGCGAAGACATGTGAGTGGGGGCGTCCTATGCAATGAGTATTGCATAAGATCGGACCATGTAGAAAATCACTCTCACTTTATAATGTCACTTACAACTGAGATTGATTTTCTTTTCTTTCGATGACTTAGGTAACTCGATTTTAATCCTGACCTAACCATGAACTCCTGTTTATTTGGAATTATCCTTAGATTTACATGGGTGAGAGTGACTCAAGTTCGTCGACTCAATAGGCCTCTCATTTCAGGGGTTAGGCTGGGTGAATAACTAGGGACGTGGGGTGCAAGATGGAATTCACTCTTATCTACTTTAAGGGATAGAAGAGAGGTAGTTCCCTTAAGCACGGACTCTAGGTCTTGAACAAGGGGCCCCATCCTCTCATTAGCCTGAAAGGGATTCAGTTTACTAGTTGGACCACAAACCAATTGTTTATTACAGTATCAGTGAGACATAAGGAACAAGAAGTAACTTTAGGGGTAAAACAGTAAATTGACCCAGCTCTAGTTACGAACAACCTGTGAATGATCGACTTAATCATGGCTATATCAAATAGACATAAATATATCGAACAACCTGTGAATGATCGACTTACTAATCATGACTATATCAAATAGACATAAATATATCTATAGTGAGGGAAGTGCAACTACTAGGCTATAGTAGAATGTCTTAGTAGTTAACGAATGTTGGTTAACAAGGTTAATGAGTTTAACCGGTTAATCTTGTATCGTTGGAGCCCATGATCTATAGGTCCATTAGGTCCCTCTGTTAGCTCATATCAGACTAAACCAAAGAACAATGTGACGAGTGAGTTCGAATTCAAATTAGAGAGATTGCACTACATATATACGATATATTTGACCGCATTTTTGTTTTATCTACGAATTAAACTAAAAGAGAGAATCTGAGATATTTAAATAAGATTTAAATATCTAAATCAAATGTGTCGGAATTAATTGGGATTGACATTTGAATTAATATTAAATATTAATTAAATAGTTTAATCATTTAATATTACTTTAATTTGAAATTAATAATTCAAATTAATTGTTGAATGAAAATGAAGAAAGTCAAAATGTTGACTTCATTTAATGCATGTTTTAGTTAGTGGAATTTTGAGGTATCAAAATTTGGTTTAACCAAACTTACATGCTTGTCAAATAAACCCCACAAATTTTAGTGGAATTTTGAGTGTCAAAATTTGATGAACTCATTGTATGCTTGCCACATAATCCCAAACATTTGAATGAAATTTTGAGTTTAAAAATTTGGTGATCTCAAATTTGCATGAACAGGCAAACATGACTCTATAAATAGAGTGATCATATTACATGGAAGTTCTTCCAAGGGAAAAACCTTGGAAAAAAGAAATCTCACAAATTCTCTCTTCATATATGCTAAATCCCTCCCAAGTTTAGTCACTCACCGGATTTCACAATCTCGTTCCAAGGCCGGAGAATAGTGGAGAAGACACTAGTGGAGGTTCGAAACCAGTTCATGAGGAAAAAAAAACTTGAGCGACAAAAGGTTAGTATTCAAACTCATTTAGTTTTAATGCTTTTGAACATGCTAGCTAATTTACTATAATTGATGTACTTAGAGTGCCTAAGATCCAAATTGGGTCCGCATGTGTTCTATTAACACCATCAATTGGTATTAGAGCATGGTTTTAGGCACTTTATTTACATTAATTTGAGCATGGTGGGTACTATTTCATGAATGAAATATTGTGGTTGCTAAAGTGGATGTTTTTTGTTTTGCATTTTTTTATGCTTCCATTTGATGCAATTCTTGTAACAAGCCTAATGTCTATGAGCTTTAATGAGTGAAGAAAGGTCTGTAATTTTTATGGAGTCATTAGAGTCCATTTTAGGTTATAATTGATCAAAAATTGAAGAGATAGCAAGCTGAACCAAAGAAGAAGATGGAAGAGGCAGTACGAGTGTTTTTTCTACCTTTGGGGTCCTGTTCAACGTTTTTAAGGGTTGGTTCTCCCAGCTCGTGATCCTCATGTGCGGTTCAAGTTATTTTTAATTATTAATGTAATAATTTAGTTAATTTCTTGCTTTAAAATTTCAAAACCAATCCACTTTAGTGTGTTTAATGAATTATGCATTATGAATGTATGTTTTAATTAAATAGAAAATGTATATGCATAAAGTATGTCATATAGATTTAAAATCCTACCATAGGCTAAGCATGTTTCATGCATTCCAGGTATGTTATGAGTGTTATAATATATAGTATACATGTTTAGAGTTTCAGAAGTGATAGATATATATTGTTATATTATTGCATGGAATGGATGATTATGCAATTGTTATATAAAGCATTTTCCTTGCATTTTCCTTTCTTCATTCCTCCGTATCAAAACTCGTTGTCTACATCTTGTTTCTTCTCCTTCTTTCTCATGATGTTAACTGTCTTTGTACGTTTGATCCTACCCCTCTATCTCACTAGTGTTGTGTATGTTGGATCCCATGGTCGTCATCTCGACATCATCATTTGTGCAGAGGTGCCTAGCCTTTACCTAAAAACTAAGAGCAGCGCATGTCTTGAGTATTTTAAGAAATACTCATTAAGTAACTCCGCCACTTCTCTACTCACGCAAACACATGAAATCATGGTTATCATAAAATATCATTTCATGGCCTTGGTCTCATATTCGTGTCCGAGTAGAATTTGATGTGCATACTTCTCTACTCACGACTTACATACACACACATTTGCTCCCATGCGAGCTCGCATACCTACCTATTGACCTGGGCTTCAACTAGCATACACTCACACTATTGGTATACCATGGAGGGAAGGGAGTGCACCATAACATCCTAACAAGTCATAACATAATAAGCAAATATATAACCGATCAAAAGGTATCACTCACACTCCACCTCAAAGTTCATTTAGAGTAGGTAGACTTATTACCATCGCTAGAAGGAGGGTTTGAGAACCTTCAACCTTGTGGTTAACAACCACACGCTCTAACCAACTGAGCTATTCCAGCTAATTCTTCGTCATAGCTCAAGCCCACCACATCCTTATATGGAATGTTTCATCCCCTCTCCAACCAATGTTGGATCTCACAATCCACTCTCCTTGGGGGCCCAACGTCCTTGCTGGCACAACGCTTGGTGACTTACTTTGATAGCTTTCGTAATAGCCGAAACCCACAGCTAACAAATATTGTCCGATTTTGCCCATTACGTATCATCATCAGCCCTACTTACAATTCTAAAATGAGTCTACTAGGGAGAGGTTTCCACACTCTTCTAAGGAATGCTTCGTTCCCATTTCCAGCCACTAAAAAATATTATCCATTTTTTACCGTAACAAATCGTCGTCAGAATCACAGTTTAAAAACACGCTACTAGAGATGATAACAGACACTTATAAGTTATTCTTCATTCTCCTCTCAAATCAATGCGGGATCAGAGGGCATGGGTTCAAATCCCACTTCTGACAACTCAAATAAAGGTAAAATAAAAATACAATAGCATATCATTTTTTGAAATCAATTGAACTCACTGAAGATTTAAAATTGTCACGACATGATTTTTCAAGCATATAAGAACGGTAATAACTCAATTTTAAAGACTTCAAAGCACAACTATAATAACTCAACTTTCTAAGGCTTTAAATCATTAATCATGACACAGAAAAATTTCATAAAAATTGAAAGGAGATTCGAAAACTAATGACAATAATTTGTAACACATAGAACTAACGTGACAAAGAAAAATTTGATAAAAATTGGAACGAGATTTGAAAACTAAGGACAACAACTTGTACATATAGAACGGATGGCTCGGGACGACCCTCCTCTGTGACCTTAACTAAAAATTAGTGATCACCCAAAAAGGAAAAGTAATATCTAGTGCAACTAAATAAGTAACCTACTTGTAGGCGGTAATCGAGTCCTTGATCGAGCGAGTTGCCACGGGTTTTTCTTTAGGTTATAGAATGTTCAGGTGTAGATTATATGTAACGACCCTAATTTTCTAGGGACCTAGAGTCACTAGAACATGCATGATGTAACTGCTTTATGCTAAAATATTTTTTACATTACGTTTTTGTATTGAAGCTACCCCTAAAAAGAACACAATATTATTATTAAGAATGCTAGATTAAGACTGTAACAATGTTAGGAACCACGAACCTATATAATTATATGACATTGTCCACTTTGGTTGGAGGGTTAAATTTTTCCACATACTAGAATGGAATGATTCATTCCCATTGATAAAAAGAGAGATGAACCTCCGACCTTGTGGTTAACAATCATACGCTCTAACCAACTAAACTATTCCAAAAAATTATGAGTATTAGCCTGGATATTGTCTACTTTGACTCATTACATATCGTTGACAACCTCACAGTTTTAAAACACGTCTAATAGTAAGAGATTTCCACATGCTTATAAAAAATGTTTCATCCCCTCCACAACCGACGTGTGATCTCTCAATCCACCCCCTTGTGTTCCCAGCAACCTCGTTGGCACACCACCCAATGACTAACTCTAATACAATTTGTTACAAACCAAGCCCACCTCTGATATTGTCTACTTTGGCTAATTACGTATCACCATCAGCCTCACGATTTTAAAATATGTCTACTAGGGAGAGATATCCACAACCTTATAGTTAATGTTTTGTGTCCCTCTCCAATTGCTAGCAGATATTGTTTCTTTTGGCATGTTACGTATCGTAAAAGTTTAAAAGTTTTAAAACGAATATTTAAGAGAGAGGTTTCCACACCCTTATAAGGAATGCTTCATTCCACTCTTCAACCAATGTTAGGTCTCATAATAAATAGTTAAGATGGTTGAGTGGCTGAAGGCTTTAGAACTCAAGTTTTGGTCCTTGTGAGTGCGTGGGTTGGATCAATCCAACTTTTGACAACTTAGAAAGGTTTTGTTTTATAAAGTGCTATTCTTTTATTAAATGAATTCATTCCTATTAGCAGGACCTACGACTTTGTTGTTAAAGGCCAATATCACCATCAACCGAACAATTCTAAAATGAGTCAACTAGGGACTCGGGAGAGGTTTCCACATCTTTATAAGGAATGTTTCGTTCCCCTTCAAGCACTAAAAATATATTGTCCATTTTTTCCCGTTATATATCGCCGTTAAAATAATAATTTTAAATCATGTTTATTAGAGAGATGTTTAAAGACAACTCAAATAAAGGTAAAATAAAAATACCATAGCTTATCATTATTGAAATCAATTGAACTCACTAGAGATTTAAAATGGCTTCCAAGCTTCTACAAAAGTTAGTATTGTTCAAGTTTACCCTTATGCTTGAATCTCAACGACACTCTGATTTTCTGTACTACCTGAGTGCATAGCAAATGATGATTTGTGAGCCTCTGTCAATGTCTCGTTCCTTAATAACCCCACTGCTGGAATACATAGGCTCCTTAATTCCTCCATTACTGGAATACACTAGCGTCCTTCATAACTACCTATGTGAAAAAAAATCAGCTTTGGAAAGGTAAAAAATGTAAAGGTTCATGTCAAAAATGTCAAATCAAGCCAAATATGTCATTTTTAGCCTAAAATTCTGAGAAGCTAAGCCGAAGGGGCCGGTGTATGCAGTAGTGACCCTGTCATTGAGGGACATTGAGACATGAGCAAGTCGCAAAGTGGGTCGAGGCATGGGTCTTGAATATTCATGTGGGCACACAAGTTGGTGTAGTGGATCATGGGGTTAGACCGTGTTCGGTGTATTTTTTGTTTGAATGTAGGTTTTTGGGCCAAGCACAGAGGAACTAGACTACATGACTGGTTGCTAGTTGGTATCTGATTGCATTATTGGGTCGAAGCTTTGTATTTTAGGTTACTGGAGCAAACTAGGTATGGGGTTGCTTGGCTATAATGAGGTTGCGGGTATTCGAGTTTGGGTCCGACCAGGTGGACTTCATCTTCTCCACCGCTCACATCGGTTAGGGTTGCCTGTGGGTTTTGGGTCGTGAGTCGGATCTCGTGTCGGACTTCGTTTCCCTCACCCTGATTACTAGAGAATTTTTCGGCGACTCTCTCTCCTCGGTCACGTCGTTTCAATGTCCTTTTTCCTCCATTTTTTAGTCTCCTCCTCCCCTAATCCCGTTTATGGTGTTTGTTTAGTTTGTAAGGGCGTAAACACTCAGATCTGAGAGGGTTCAAAAATCCAACATTCTGTCTTCCTTACCCAATCTCGGGCCTAAAACTTTATTCGACTTTGCTCCGCAACTTCTGTTTAGCGCTTTCGACTCAGGGTACCGATTTTTAACCCTGTTTGACATTTTTAGACCCAATCCTATAATTGGTTACCCACTTGAAGTCGATTTTGATATTTCCAAAAGGTTTTGAGATTAGTACGATCATTGTTTCAAAAAACTAAAATATTATAAGAAAAATGATAGGTTTACTTAGACATAGTAGCTAAACGAGGTCGTCTGATCTGTGCTAATTCGGTGTCGTTAACTCACATAGGTTTACTTGGATTTTAAAGGGTAAAATTGAACTAGCTTCAAGTATGATTTAGGGGCTTCAACTTAGCTATCTTGGTAAGTGACTTCACAACTATCCAAAGTTTGCTTGACTTCTCTGAGTGCTAAGGAATGATGGGTTTTGTTTTAATGGCGATTTTGAGGTTAGTGAGGAGGAAAAACATTAAGGATATGGAGATTGTGTCTTAAAGAGGAGAGAGTTTTGATACTGTTTGAATTGGGAAAAGTAGACTGCCTTCTGCTTCAATGGTAAGAACACAACCAGCTCTTGAAAATAGTTACCTTCCTTGATTATTTTTCTTCTTAGTTGCTGGGACGTTTTCGTCATTGTGTGGAACGTGTAATGAGAGAAAGAACGTTTAGACGAACGATATAATCGGTATAATTTTTTACTCTTGAAGTGTAAAGTTGTCGGAACGATTCTTTTATTAACTTCTCTGGGTCATATTAAAAGATAAATGAATACTACTATTGATGATCTCATGGATAAACACCAAAACCGAAGATGAAGAGTTATTGGGCTCTCGATCATGGCTACAACAAGCTTGGGTACCATATTTAAGAATAGTAGGATATCTTTAGAAAAATTAGTAATTGAAAGTATCTTTTAGGTTAAATTTTTTTTAGTGATAAATTGAGTGAAAAAGAAAATATTTGGTATTGAATATAAATAAAATTGTTGATTAGTTTAATGGGTTAGGTTTTAATTCAAATATATTTTGTTAGACCCATAAGAGTTTAAACTTGAGTTAATTTTGCAATTATAATGGATCAAATCTTAGAAAAGAAAAGGATCCAAATTTTGAAAGAAAAAGGGAATGTATAACTCTATAGTAATAAGTAAAATGGACTAAATAAATTTGAATTGGGTTGCATATTTTACCCATAGAACTCATGTCATACAATATATTTGAATCAAATTAACTTAAACAAACTTTGGCCTTCACCTACAAACTCAAACAATATAATTGTTGTATGTCTATTTACTTTTTTTGACGTAGTTTATTTTTATTGTATTAAGAATACGAATAAAAATCCATATGATACAGAGTAGAAATAAATTGGGTAAGAAGGACATTGTTTTGGTGCAACTTTGCCAGTAGATTAGGGCATGCTTCATTCGAAGTTTTCTGGCCAGAAAAGGGAACATGGCTTTCTGATCGATGTAGTAATGAAAGATAATTTGCATATAATAACGGTTTTTCTTTGTTTAATATTCCTCAAAACAAATTTGAGTTCTTGCACCCATGGGAACCTTATTAAATAATTAAATAATTATTCAATGTATCTTTATGGGTTTTATGAAACACACCTTTGTTAGAACAACAAAGAAAATAAAAGAACATATCTTAATATGATAATAACGGTTTTTCACAGTTTCGAATCATGATATATAGTTATGATGCAAATCATACATTCATTCTTTTTATGACATAGTGTTCCTATGAAACATGCATACGTATACGTAACATATCTTTTATGGTTAATATGATATATACGGTTTCGAATTAA